TTCTATATACCTGAAACAAATTTTTAAAAAGTGGCTATATAATCTTTGTCTCTTTTACTCAATCATAAAATGACTTATAAATAGTGATCATTTTAATAGTGACCTAAGATCAGGCCTCTTTATTTTTTCATTATTTTTATTTTCAAAATTGTGGTAAAATATACGTAACATAAAATTTACCATTTTAATCATTTTAAATGTACATTGCGTACATTTTAAGCACACAGTGGCATTCACACTGTTGTGCAACCATCACCACTCTCCATCTCCAGACGTTTTTCATCTTGCAACACTGAAAACCTGTGCCTATACTCACTCCTCATTTCACCATCCTCTCAGCCCCTGACAACCACCATTCTATTTTCTACCTCTGAATTTGACTGCTCTTGGTACCTCATATAAGTGTAACATAAATATTTGTCCTTTTGTGCCTGGCTTATTTTACTGGTATAATGTCCTCAAGGTTCATCCATGTTGTGGCAGGTGTCAGAATTTCCTTGATCTGATTTCTTTCTTTTGCAGGTGCTTCAGTTTCCCTATACAGTACAGAGCCTTAATTACCTAGATGAAATTCTCCCCAAGTTTCTGTTTTCCTAAGGAATAAAATAAGTGTTCCTTAAAATGTCTGATACATACTGATGTCCATAGCAGCATTATTCACACTAGCCAAAAGGTGGAAATAATCCACATGTCAATCTACAGATGAATGAATAAAGAAAATGTGTCACATTCATACAATGAAATATTTAGCTTTAAAAGAGAAGGAAATTCTGACACATGCTACAACACGGATGAACCTTGGAAACATTATGTTAAGTGAAATAAGCCAGACACAAAAAGACAACTATTGTATGATTCCACTTACATGAGGCACCTAGAATTAGGTTAGTATAAGAAATAGTGATCTGAAGATAATTTCTACATTTTATGTTTATGAGAGTCACATAATTCAATTTATGACTATTGATGACTGTACTTATTTGTGAAATGTCCAAGTGATAAATCTCCCTTGATTTTATTTCTAGGAAAGTTTGCTTTCATGATGAATTGCTGCTTGCTCTCTTTATGAGATAACAAGAAATCTACCTTTCTCCTTTGACTGTTAAGAACTGAGAGCCACTTTTTATGCTGATTTGTAGCTATTAGCTGGTCAAACCAGTATTTCCCTGAGAATCATTAACCATCCTTAAATAAATAAATTCCTATTTCTACTCACTATGAGCACTGTGAGAGAGGCAACTTGGGTACAATTCAGATCTGCAATTCAGACCGCTGACCAATGTGACTTTAAACCATGTTTCTCTGTCCAAAATGTCTTTAACAGCATGTCTGTTCCTATCATCCATCACACAGCTGCTCGTGGCATTCCATTTCTGGAAAATGATTCTCATATCCTTGAGGGTCATGGGCCTCTCCAAATGCATTTTATAATGTGCCACATTGCCTGTGTTTTAAACCAGATTATCTCTACTATATCTTTCATATCTGGTTTAAAAATATTTACCCAGTGTTTTCTAGTGGTGCAAAACCAAAGACTTTATTGATACGGACAGTGCTCTCCACACATATACCATAGCCCCTAGTTTTTTTGTCACTAGGGTTCCGAATTTCGATGCTAACTTTTAGTTATTTTTTTCTCCCCTCCACTCTCCATCAGCTGTCAAATTCTGTAGTTTCTGTCTTTACCATTTTACATCTGATCCTTTCTAATCTCAGTGTCACATTCTCCCATCTTCTTCCTCCATTTTCCCCCCACCTTCCTCTCACTACCTGGGTGGCTTAGTCTGTTCAGGCTGCTAAAACAAAGTATCACACACTGGGTCGCACATAAACAACAGACATTTATTTCTCACAGTTCTGGAGGCTGGGGAGCTAAGATAAGGGCACAGCATGGTCAAAGCCCTCTTCCAGGCGGCAGACTTACTGACTTGTCCGTGTCCTCAAAAAGTGGTGGAAGGGGCAGGGATCTCTCTAGGATCTCTTTTATAAGGGCACTAATCTCATTCATGGGGATAGGGTAAAAGGCCCTACCTGTAAATACCATCACATTAGGAATTAGTATTTCAACATAGGAATGTTGTGGGGACACATTCTGACCATAGCACTCAGATTATTCCAATATCCTCCTAACAGTAGCCTCTGCTACAACCCTCCTCTGTCCAGTGGGTTTCCTATTCTGTTGCCAGATCTGTCTCTTCACTCTCGGCATTTATAAAGGCCTTTCACAACGTGGCTCAAACCAAGGGTCTGGTCTAATTACTACTGTTCTTTCAGGCGAAACCCAGGCCCAGCCAAAGAAAGTACTTACTGTCTCCTCAACATGTCCTGTATTTTCTCACCTTAATTCTTAAGTTCATGTTGTTAGGTCCTGGTGGAAAATGCTTCTCCCCAACCCACCCCTAATTTTTGTCACCCAGAAATACTATCCATTCCATAAATGCCACCTCCTTAATTAAACTTTTCCTGATTCTCTTCAAAGATACGATCTCTCCCAGTTTTAACCTTCCTCTAGCCTTTTCTGTCTGGTTGTCTCTTGTGGCAAATGACATTTTTGTCTTACATTAAACTTATTTATGTATTTCCCTCTCCGAAATAAACTTCTAAGATAATAAACCATGGCTCTTTAACTACTTATCATTATGCTTCATTATAATTTCTCCTTAGATCAATGCCTTGCTTCCAAAGACACTCACAAAGTATTTACTGAATTAAAATTGGCATTACTCCAAGAAAAGAGGGGTTTAAAAGGGTGCTCTTTGTATAAAAATGTTTATTCCAAACATTCGAAACATAATAAACAATCTAAAAGTTCAGCAAATAGGGAATGGTTAGATAAATTAATGACAGGGCCCTGTAAAACAAGGGTAAATGAAGTAGGAGGCTTCGCTAAAATTAAATATGACAAAGTTTTATTCCAGGGGCTTAGGATTTATAAACTGAAAACATAGCTCGGCAATGTCCAGTGTTCCGATGGAGAAATAAAAGTTGAGAATTTTCTCAGTAAAAAGCACATGTCTGGGAAAAGTCAGTACTGCATTCTTAGTCCATGTATTTTCTCAGAATGGTAATCTTCCACATATATAGTGATCTGGATAATTAAACATTCTTTTTTAAGCACAACAAGGGGTTAACTATATGATATATATATATACATCTCCAGCACATGAACATTCTTAAGTCCTTAAGGGATTTTTTGGAATTTAGGTATCTCCAGGCACTGTTGCACAACTGAAAAATCCAAAAGTTTAAGTTCCCAGGTTAGTTAAAGGAAGAGGAGAATTGTTTCCTCTGCCTTAGCCTACTTGATTTTTACAATTCAGCAGCTTGACCATAGTGACTCCGTTTTATTTCCTCACTCTTTTCCTCAGCCCGAATCTAATTCTCCTCCTGTGCCTGGCCCATAGGAAGTATTTAAAGTGTATTAAATGAACTGTATTGGAATATTATGTAACCAAGTGCATATGAAATTGAGTTCAAGAAAAAACAATTTTCACAATAATACGGGTGTGTTATATCTACAAAACACAAACACAAACTATGGAAGCACGTTGTTAATAATTAGAAGGGGCCAGAGAAAGCCAACTGTCACATTTGTACTGCGGTTGAAAAGGCGTCCTCATGCACACTTTGATTTTCGCAGCCGGGTGAAGCTCGCCCGGGAGGTATTATTAGGCCGTTTTACTGCTAAGGAAGCCAACTCCGAGAGGTCAGAAATGACTAAGGCGGAGCCAGAATTCTAGCGTCCGCCTCCCGCCCGCGGCTCCTTCCTGGCCAACCCTCGGCAACGTGGGCTGGCGTTGGGGGTCTGGGTTTGCTGCTTCACCCTCCTTACTTCAGCAAACCAAACCCAGAGCCGGGCCGCCGCCAGGGGCAGGTGCCCGGGGAGGCGCAGGTGCCCGTGGCCGCGTTCCAGAGCGGCGCGGGCGGCTC